AGGACAGGTGGTGGGCTTTCCAGCTTGGAGGAATCTGTCCACATCGGCTGGAGATATCCGGTCAAAGTGGTCCAATACTGGACCCGAGGACAGTCGAGGGGCCTCCAGTTCCTTTATTGTATCCAAATTGGCGGGGAGGTCATGGCGGAGCAACAGGACCTTCTCCGCAAAAAAGCTCGCAAATGCCTCACAGCTATGTGTCAGATTGTTATTTAAATTTGGCTGTCCTTCAAGGGACGTTAAAGACCGAATTATACTAAATAATTGCGCCGGGCGAGAGCTAGCGGATGCAATGGAGGCCGAGAAGTAAGACTTCTTAGCGGCCTTCACTGCCATCTCGTAGGTTTTCATAAAAGCCCTATAAGATGTTCTTGAGGCTCCGTCACGGGCACCCCGCCATACTCGCTCTAGCCGTCTGAGGTCCCGCTTCATTTTCCGAAGCTCCTCGGTAAACCAGGGAGCCCGGTTTCTGCGGGGTCGCAGAGGGCGCTTAGGTGCGATCTCATCGATGGCTGCCAGGAGCTGGGTATTCCAGCCCTCAACAAGCTCAATCAATGAGTCGCCAGGGGGAGCAAGGTCCCGCAAGGCTTGACGGAATCTATCAGGGTCCATCAGCCTCTGCGGGCGAGCCCAAATCGGCTCGCCACCTAAGCAGGGTGGGGGTGGAAAGTCAATCCTGGCTTTCAGAGCGTAGTGATCAGACCATGGCACCTTCATCGAAGGAGACATGATCACATCTATACCGGCGCCAAAGATCAAATCCAGCGTGTGGCCTGCTTGATGTGTGGGGCCCGAAACAAACTGGGAGAGCCCTAGTGTCGCCATGGAAGACACCAGGTCCAGAGCCTGTGAGGAGGGAGTGGCATCAGCATGGAAGTTGAAGTCTCCCAATACCAATAGGTTAGGGAACTCCAAGGCCCAGCCGGCCACCACCTCCAATAGGCCTGACAGGGTGGCTGCTGGTGCGCTAGGTGGCCGGTACACCAGCCAGACAGCCAAGCTCTCCTCGGAGCCCCACACTAGGCCAACACATTCAATGCCGGGGATCGATGGCGATGGTAGAGCTGCCCTGCGAGGGAGGAAGCCAGCAGCTGCATTTCGAGGCCCTTGTAGCAGCAACAGCAGCAGCAGCCACCACTGCCATCGCTCAGGACAAGCACCGGCTCCTCCTCCTCCCCGAGCGCAGGGGTGGCAGCACTGGTGGGGGAAAGAGGGACATTCCTGGATCAAATCAGAAGCTGGGGTGGTTTTTGTAATCCCAGGACTGTCCCTGGAAAACAGAGGCACTCGGAGGATATGCAGTTGTAGCCAACTGACTTCTACTCAGAGTAGACCCATTGAAATTAATTGACCTCAGTTTGTTGTTTGTTGTTTAGTCGTTCAGTCGTGTCCGACTCTTCGTGACCCCATGGACCAGAGCACGCCAGGCACTTCTGTCTTCCACTGCCTCCCGCAGTTTGGTCAAACTCATGCTGGTAGCTTCGAGAACACTGTCCAACCATCTTGTCCTCTGTCGTCCCCTTCTCCTTGGGCCCTCCATCTTTCCCAGCCAGGTCTTTCCAGGGAGTCTTCTTTCATGAGGTGGCCAAAGTATTGGAGCCGCAGCTTCACGATCTCAGTTCAGAAATGATCTCAGTTCGCCAGTTCTATTAATTTCAGTGGGAGGAATGCAACATTGCCCTGAGGCAATTGTTTCACCAGGGCAAGCATTTTGGCTTGCCAGATGGAACAATCCCACTCTGCCATCCCCTGCACTGTTCTGCAATGCAGGAATCTTTTTGCCCTTCAGTACCAGGAAAGAGGACTGAGCATGGACAGTCCACAGTTGCTCAGTAACTTAGGTCCCATCTCCTCAAATGTCCAGTTTGAGTAGGGTTGCCACTTGTCCCTAGAAAAACGGGATCGTCCCTTTTTTGGACAAAAGAGTCCCCTGTCCCAAAGAAACCAAGAATAAAATAAAAAGTTACTAATTGATCCTAAAGAAAGAGGAGGCTTCTCCTTGCTTGATTTGAAGTTATATTATAAAGATTTACTAGATTTGGAAGGTCATGGTAACAGGTTTGGGTGGCACACATATTTATGGTATGATAAAACGAAAGCACATAAAGGATTCCTGAACCACTTGGTAAGAAAATCAATCTACGAGGTATGAGATAGATATAAAAACTTACTAGAACGCAGAACACCATGGTGGCTCTCTCCATTGGAAGCAATTTCAGTTAAAAAATTAAATATGAGAGGGAATTGGACCAGATTTGTTAATAGAGGCAGAAGACCAACTAAAATTGAGGAAATTTGAAGATGTAAGAGCGTTATTAACGGAGTGGTTAAAGTATCACCAATTAAATGATGTTTTTAAGGTAGACAAAAAATTGGATTTGATACAGTGAGATCAGGGTTTGAAATAGATCTGTTTGAAAATAATAGTGTTATAAAAAATGTACAAATTACTTCTGGAACGGTATACAAAAGATGATGAAGTTAAGGCAGTGATGATACATTGGGCTAGAGATTTTGGGTATAATATCCAACTTTCATCTTGGGAAAAGTTATGGAAAGAGGAAATAAAATTTACTGCATGCTGTTTGTTGAAAGAAAACTATATGAAAATGATGTATCGTTGGTATCTAACACCGAGTAAAATTGCAAAAATGTACAAAACGAGTTCAAATCTGTGTTGGAAATGCAAAGGGAAGGGAAATACTTTTTATCATATGTGGTGGACATGTACACTGGTAAAGGCTTTCTGGGAAATGATATATAATGAATTAAAGAAAATATTTAAAAATACATTTGTTAAAATACCAGAAGCCTTTTGGTTAGGTATAATAGGTGAAGAGATACCAAGAGAGGACAAAAGACTTTTTATGTATGCAACGACGGCAGGGAGAATGCTACTAGCCCAGAGATGGAAAGAAGGAGAAGTACCAACAAAAGAAGAATGGCAGACAAAACTGATGGAGTAGGCAGAGATGGCGAAACAGACGGGGAAGATCTGAAACCAGGAAGATCAAGTATTTTTAAAAGACTGGAGTAAATTCTTAATTTATTTAAAAGACCACTGTAAACAGTTAAAATCATTGGCAGGGATGTAATGACACTTGTAATATAAAGCGGTATAGAAATGAAGTAAATAATAATAATAATGTTGGACTGACTGCGGTAACTAGGGATATATAATAGATGGATAATGGTAAAAGATGCAGAAAATTTAATCTTAAATATGGAATCCATGGAGGGAGGGAAGGAGGTCCGAAGGTTCAAAAGAACCTTTTATTTTAATGTTTGAAATGGTTAAAGTTAAAATGTATACAATTGTGTAAAACCAATAAAAATATTATTAATAAAAGAGTCCCCAGTCCCATTTGGATTTCAAATGGGATGCCTGCCCACCCCCCCCCCCCGTATTTAAACTCCTCCTCCTCAAACTGCATGGGCAGAGGGTGGCTGGGGGAGAGCGAGACTTTGTGCAGGCAGGGCAGAGGGTGGGTCCAGTTCATTGGTTGGTGTTATAAGAAAAAACTGTTCCTATATCCCTTATGGGGTATCCAAGAGCCCATATAGAGTCCTTATGCAAGTTCTCTATTAGTAGGAGAAACTAACAGAGGCCAACCAGAGAATATTGAGAAGCAAAGCAGCTAATAAGTCTGATCTTTATTGAACTGTTGCAACAGAATCCCCCACTCCCCCCACACAGGGAGGGAGGAGAAGAACCTAGAACAATGGTGTGCAAGCTCTTATATAGACTTTTGAAATTGCCTCCCCTGTAGCTCAGGACCACCGCCCAAAACATAATATATACGTCACAGAAAGAGGGGGTCCCCAGCAGAAATAAATCACAGGGGGCGGTCTGCAGCAGAAAACCTGTCAATGGTCAATCATTGCTATATCTGGGCAGCCTGGTCATTCTTTGTTGTTGTTTAGTCGTTTAGTCGTGTCCGCCTCTTCATGACCCCCTGGACCAGAGCACGCCAGGCACTTCTGTCTTCCACTGCCTCCCGCAGTTTAGTCAAACTCATGCTGGTAGCTTCGAGAACACTGTCCAAGCCAGGTCATAGGCTCACCCTTAAGACAGGATTTGTGAGCAATGGGGAGAACATTTGAGGTTACTGGAAGAGTCAAAATGGCTTCAGGATTGTTCTCCTGTACTATTTCAGACACATGGCTTATATACTTATGTATGTGTTTGCCACGTACATTTTTATGAACGTTTATTTTATATATATAAGACCTTAGAATTCCTATAACAGTTGATGTTGCCCACCACCTCTCTTCTCCTCACTCTCTGTCACTGTCCTTGCAACTGCTGTATTATCCTCCCCAACCCCAAGAGAAGCCCTTTCCTCCTTGACACCAGTGGGCATGAGAGGGTGGCAGCTGGCCCAAAATGGCGGCTGCATTACTGTAGGTGCGGCTGACAAGCGACAATAGAAAGAAGGGGGAAGGAGCAACCTCCTTGGCCTCCCTCGCCCTCTCCTTCCTCACCCCCCATTAGTGCATCTCTTCAGCTACCACCACTGCTGCTGCCAGTCCAGCATCGTGTGGGTCTGCCACCACTTGGACTCCTCCGCCACCCTGACCTGACCTTCCCTCCTCTTTGGTGCTGGCGTCTCTTCTGACACCAGCTTGGGAGAGAGGCTACAGCGGTGGCTCAAGCCCCCTGTGGGAGCTGTCCCATGTTGACTGCTGGCCCCGGCCCATCTACGTGACTTGAGGCTGGGGTGGTGAGGGAGGGAGCAGGCCAAATGCGAGGACCCCCCCTCCACAAAGGGGGGTTGGTGTCATGAGAGTGTGCCTGTGCCCCTCAATCCCCACCCTCCGACCTGTCCCATAAGTCTGAGTGCTCCTTGGCACACCCTGCCCAAGCCCACACACCAAAGGAGAGACACAACAAAGCCAAAGAAAAGACAGTCGGGATTTTGTAACTGCAGCATGTTTTATTCTTTCCTAGCAGTTTTTTTTTTTGGGGGGGGGAAAGCCATATAATACAACCAGTTTTATGGCACATACCCCCTCCCTGGAATATAATTGGATTGCTGTTATTATAGTTCAAGCAAAACAGAAGAAGAAGTCTATTTCACAGACCAAGTGAGCCTCTGCACAGTTAAAGGGCACATCTACACGGCAGAGCCAAACTGCTTCAGAAGTCAGAACTTTGCTTCATGGGAGGCTGGGAACTGTAGCTACCAGCACTCTCACAAAACTACAGATCCCAGGATTCTTTGAGGGCGGAGGGAGGATCTTGATGATTAAACTGATATAGAACTATCAGATTTGCTGTGTGGTCTGACAGTTTGCATGGGGATATCTTTTTAACTGACTGTGACATAAATATAGTCTCCAAGTTAGTTTCAAGGAGAAAAACACTTGTATAAAAAAGAGGCTAGCAATGTTTTTCTAGCCCTTCTGTTGCAAAGAAAAATGTCCCTTGTTGTCCTGCCTGCTTGTCCTAAAACAACCGTCTTGTGGCCAGAGAGCCAAACTCTCACCTAAACATCTTCAGCAACTATAGTTTCCAAGATTCTTCAGGATGAAGCCAAGACAGTTAAATTGTTTAGAAATGATACAAAATTGTAGTGTAGCCACTATATTTCTGAGGAATTCTGGGTCAGAAAAAGGTTCACTGGTTCACTGGAGAAAAGCATATCTGAACATGGGCAAAGTTTTTTCCTGTCCTCAGTAAGCAAGCTTGCTCACAGCTAACCCAGGAACATGGACACACACCTTGCTTTTCATGTGCTGCCTCAAGTTTATTTAAAGGACATTGCTCATGTATTAGGTAAAGGAAGTGGCAGGAAAACAGACTTTCTTCTTCTCACAAAGTAGATCCATGCCTATGCAGGTAAATAAAGTACATGTTTCAAAACTGGTTGAAAACAGAAGCACTGTTTGCCCGCAAGTTCCTAGATCTAGGAGTCAGCAGACATCACCATATTAAGAGATCAGGAATTAGGATACATTCAGCTGATGTTGAAAGGTTGGAAGAACACAGGTAGCTTAGACAAATATTCTAGAATGTTTGCTCTATGCTTGTAAATATCAGAGTGTGTCCAACTAACTTTTGCTCAGAGTGGACCCATTGAAATCAATCTACCTAAGTTAGCCATGACTGTGAATCTCAAAAAATTGACCCTATGGCTAGCATCAGATACGACCTTGTATGTCTTTCCTATGAATGTTATGAAAAAATCCTCTGGCTTGATCTGTGCATCCTAAACATCGCAGCATTTTTGCCAGGGCATGAGACTCAGTTAATGGTCTAGAAATGGACCAGGGTAGGGAGTGAGATAGCTCAAAGCTATCTCCATAAAAGTTAGCCCTAGGAAGTCTAGTGGAATTTTACCTGTGAAAAAGTTTGTGAAATGTCTTAGTCACCTTCTGAAGGTTTAGTCTGAGGTCCAGATTTTTATTTTTATTTTTACAACAGTAACATATTTGCTAGCAATAACACTTTCTTTTGCATTATGGATTTTCTGATCAGAGTGAAAACCCAGAAATGTCCCACGTCAAATCAGTCTTCATTAAAGTAACAAACCAAAATGGAAAAATGTTCTAGACTGTAGTAGTCCATGAAACTTTATGCCATAATAATAATATTTTTTAGCTTTTGAGGTGCCACAAGACACTTCACGGTTTTTACTGATTGAAAACATAATGTTAAGGAAAGCATGGCAGAAAGATCAATTACAACTAATTTATGAAACAGAACAACTCATAAGAGCACTCACACTGGTCAGGAATTCTGGGTGATTTTGAAAGAAATGTGAGCCAGTGTAGAAGATGATTAAAAAGTGACTCCTCAGTAATACAAGGAAATGCCATCTTTACTATTTTCTTTTTAATTCATTGTTACAATCATGCACTCAAACCTAATGGCATTTTTAAACACACACACACACACACACACACACACACACACACACACACACACTTCTGCCATTTGGTTTTGGCCCAGGTGATGAATGAGTTAAAGCTTTAGACCTGCTTGCCAAAAGCGTTGTGCCTCCAAATGTTTGGGGCTGAGACTGCCACTATCCTGACTATTGGTCATGCTGCCTGGGAATTATGGGACTCTCTGTTTCTTACAAGATGGCAACTTTTTCTTTATCCTGATGAGGGAAACTGATTACATCCTCATGTGACTGACATTTGCTCAGGCCATCTGATGAAAAGGTGCCCTCTGAAGGCCAGCTCCTGTCCATCCCTGATTTAAATATTAAGGCTAAAATGATAATACTGTTCTGAAGAGTCTCCCCGTGTTAGAAAAAAGGGGGACACTAAGCTACACATCACTGTCCTCAGCTGGATTATGCAGTGCCAGCACTCATTGACTCATCCTTTTAATGCAGTGCATTTTGCATCCAGAGAGTTTTAGGAATGAAGTATTTCTCACCCCCTTCTCCCCAGTAAATGTGCAATAAATGAGAATTGCTGATCATATACAGTAGTTCCAATAGGCAAATGAAGGCAGAGCTCCCAAAGCCAAAACCCTGCAAGCTCCGAGAATACACATTCCAAACTCATAAGTCCTTTATATTAAATGGACTAATTTTCATGGAAATAAAAGGGCAGAACCAATCAGAACAATATATCATCTTTCTCAGTTTCTATTATGGAAACGCTTGCTTTATTATTATTCAAAAGAAAGAGAGAAGATCAAACAATGTTTCAATTGATGCAATTATATTGACAGGACATGACAGCAAGTTTTTGAGTGGGGCAAAACATTTCTTCAGGTGGGGAAATGCAGACTAAACCTTCCAGGGTGGGGTAGAGGAAGGCCGTTAAAGTTTTCTGCCTTGGCCGTTGGGATGACTGGGAGGCTCTCTCAAAATCTTGATGCATTACTCAGACATTTCATACTAAGGATTTCAGCTGAACCAGTTTAGATCTTACCAGTTCTATTTTTTAAAGCTCTTCTTCAATCAGGATAATTCCATTTGCATGGAGATGGAGACTCACTTAGGGCATCATTTTTCCAGGTTCCTACCTTCAAAAAATGCTTTTCAAGGGACACATCTACCGTGGATTCCCAGAGCACTGCATACGTTTCTGGAACACAGGACATCAGCCCATTGGTTGATCCAGCTCTGTGCTGCCTGTATTGACTGGCAGTGGTGGGTCTCCATGATGTGAGACAGGAGTCTCCTTCCAGTCCAGCCTGGAGATTGAACCTGGGACCTTCTGCATGCAAAGCAGATGCTCTACCACCGAACTTCGGTCCTTGTACCAGGGAACACATTTAGTTCATGGAGGACAATGACCAGGCCTGTCAAGCCCAAGTTGGTCCATCTGAATGGAGAATACAACCTAGGACACACCCAATGTTCTCCTGAAGTTCAGTCTAGCACAAAAAAATGCTAGGGTGCTGGGGAAGCTTTCTTTCGGGAAATGTTTCTTTGCCATGATCAATCTTCTCTTTGAAGGACCATTTGTGAAGATCTGCTTCTAAGTTGCCCAATGCTGATGAATGCAACTCTTAACAGAGTTGGATGATTTATTTAGGGGCCCTTGGATCTTCTTGAGAGGCTAAGCAGACAGTATGTTGCTTAGTTATTGTCCCGGGACTCACAGTTTCCATCCGTTTTAGTGGAGTACAACCATATTCTCAAGGAAGTTTTCAAAGCTCCAAATGTTAAGATGGGTTAAGGATCAAAGAGAATAACTGATGGACAAGCTTGGATTTGTACTCAAGACACACTGTTCCCCAATCCTCTGGGTCATTCCCTCCCCACCTCAGTACATATTCTTTGTACCCCAGATAATTGCAGATGATCCCTGATACAAGTTTGGTATGAGATGGGTTAGGGGGTGGAGTAACCAGAGAATTGGAAATATGCAGACAGCGGAGATACTTCCAGCTTGGCTCAGCTGAGAAAGGGACTGGTTGCTGTTGGAAGGCACTGCATGGGATGTTGGCAGTCACGCGTGGGTACTGGTGCCAGCCCCGCTATGGAGCGGGGCCTTGGAGATCTCCGTGCTGACTGTGGAAAGGGGGAAGCTTTCATACTTGTCCTTCTCACTGCTGCAGCTGCAGCGATACAGCAATGCCTTGACTTCCTTTTGGAAATTGCTGTTGAGGAAACCATACATGATGGGGTTGATGCAAGTGGAAGCCATGGCCATAAGGTGGCAGAGGGAGAAGATGAAGTTGTGGTAGCACACTGAGATCTTCTCATGGTCCCAGTCATAGAGGGCATTGAAGACAGTGAGTGGAAACCAACAGGCGGCAAAAGCAACGACGATGCAAGCCAACATAATGTTGACCTTCCTGTGGCTAGTGGCCCGGGAGCCATCCTTGGAGCGCTCCACCATGTCCTTGCGACGCTGAAGGCGCAGGAAGATGCGGAAATAGCAGGCCATGATGAGGAGCAGGGGCAGGCAGTACTGGAAAAGCAAGAGGAAGGTGGTGTAAGCTAGGCGATGCTGATCCGATGGCCAGTGCTCAATGCAGGCCACGTGGTTGGCAAACGGGTCAAAGGGAAGGCTTAAGTTTTGAAAGGGCTCATTGGTCAGGATGGTGAAGGAGAGGAAGGGCAGGGAAATGAAGCAGGCCACCACCCAGGTAATGGCCACAGCCAGGTACGCATGGTTAGCTCCTGGCTTCCGCCCAGTCGGATTGATGATGAGCTGATGCCTTTCCAGGGCAATCCATACGAGGGAGAGGACGGAGACAGTGACGGAGATGCACTGGACAAAGGGGCTGGCCTTGCAGAGCACTTCTCCTAAGATCCAGCGGTCCATCAAGGTGTAAATGACCGTGACAGGCATGCAAACAAGTGACATGAGGATGTCAGAGCAGGAGAGGTTGGCGATGAAGATGTTGGTGACGTTTCTCATCTCCTTCTGCTGGATGATGACACACACCAAGCAGAGGTTGCCAATCAACCCCACTGCAATGACTGCGCTGTAAGCTACGATCAGGAAAGTGCCGTTCCCCACAGAGTCGCTGCAGGACATGTCGTTTTCCTCTAGCAGGCTCAGCTGCTCTGAGAAGTTGAGGTAGAGGAGATTCATCAGCTGGTCCATGGCACGTCCCAACTCTACCTTAGAGATGGAAGGATGGAGAGCTCTCTAGTGCAGGTGGCAAAAAAGGCTGCGGCAGCAGCAGCAGCTGTCCCTCCTCATGAGATGCTGCGCTCGCTTGCCCTGTGCCAAGGAAGAAGACATCCAGACATTAGGAGGCACTTACTTATTGACTACATTTATATATTGCCTTTCTTCCATGGAGCTCAAGGTGGCACATAGAAGTGCCCAGGGGGCTCCTAGGATTGCTTCAGGCATTCTCTGCTGCTTTCCCCAGCCACTCTGGGTGGCTTACAACATATCTAAAAACATCCTTAAAAACTTCCCTAAACAGAACTGCCTTCAGATGTCTTCTAAAAGTCAGATAGTTGTTTATTTCCTTGACATCTGAAGGGAGGGTGGGTGCCACTACTGAGAAGGCCCTCTGCCTGGTTCCCTTCACTTCTCGCAGTGAGGAAACCAGCAGAAGACCCTTGGAGGAGGACCTAAGTGTCCGACTGTCCGGGCTGAGTGATGGGAGTGGGGACGCTCCTTCAGGTATACAGGGCCGAGGCTGTTTAGGGCTTTAAAGATCAGCACCAACACTTTGAATTGTACTTGGAAACATACTGGGAGCCAGAAGATCCTTTAGGACCAGTTTTTCAGTATATGGTCTGGGCAGTCACTCCCAGACCCAAGTCTTGTTAGCTTCACCAAGTGGTTGGCTGTATCAGGAGTCTTGAGAGCATGCCCTCCTGCAGCCTTCAACAATCTGGCACCTTCCATATGTTCCCATTAATCCCAGCCAACTGATGGGAGTTGTAGTCCAAAACATCTGGAGGGTGCTAGTCTGGATCAGCTGCCCCAGGACTACTCATCTTCTGCCCCACATAGTTTAGTCTTACGGCCCATCCATACCTTGGCTTAATGCCCATTGGGAACCCCTTGTGCCCCCTTTAATTCCCCCTCATCCTGGTGACATTCTCCTCCAATTACCACCCCAAATTTTCTCCTCCCTAAATCAGATATTCCCTATGCAATGGATGTTGCTGTGCAAGCCTAGGACTTGCCGATCAGAAGGTTGGCGGTTCAAATCCCCACGACAGGGTGAGCTCCCATTGCTCGGCCCCAGCTCCTGCCCACCTAGCAGTTCAAAAGCACGTCAAAGTGCCAGTAGATAAATAGGTACCACTCCAGGGGGGAGGTAAACAGCATTTCTGTGCACTGCTCTGGTTCTCCAGAAGTGGCTTAGTCATGCTGGCCACATGACCCGGAAGCTGTATGCTGGCTCCCTTGGCCAATAAAGTGAGATGAGAGTCGGTCACAACTGGACCTAATGGTCAGGGGTCCCTTTACCTTTAAGGAATCTCCAGATCTAGGGAGAAGAAAATGTGAGGCTGCAGTAGATGGAGGAGAACACCAAGTGGGCTAAGGAGCCACAGGAAGCATGGGGGGATCACAAGACACACTAAGCTGAGGTATGGATGGGCCACACTCTGCAGTGACCCCACCTTATCCTAGAAGCTTCTATTGGGTAAGAACACGCTCACTGAAAGTATTAAAAATGTGTTCTTTGTCTTGAGACAGCCCTCTCCTGTGGTTGCCATTTACTGTGAAGACAGACATGAGATCTTAAGAGTGAGTTATCCACCTGCTGTAAAGCAGAGTTCCTATTCATTGCAATGGAGGCAGAGGAAATGAGAACACCCCCCTCCGCCCTTTATCTGCATGGCCTGGTACTCTCTACATTTTTCCAGACAATCCCCGCCCTGTTGTTCAGGAAAGTCACGGCCATCACTTATTGTCTTTTCCTGCCCTCTGTTCCCATCTAGCCCATCAGCTATGATAATGCAGCCTTGCAAATGAAGTCCACAGAAGTTACAAGCCTGCAAAAAAATTGTTCACAAGTCCCTGTCTAGTGATAGTTATTTTTAGCATGTCTAAGGCCTGCAAAAAGGAAAATGAAATTGAGAGGGAGAAGACAGACTCTTCCAACCTAGAAAAGCATTCTTGCCAGAGGCAATTTTTACTTGCCACAGGCAAGCAGCTATTTTCAAGCCTACATAGTAACTGCTAAGTATCAGTATCGGTATCAAAGTTTATTTCAGTCACAGACCAGCATAAGATAAAACATATGGATAAACTGAACACATAAGACTTAAAACAGGCAAGGAGTAACTGCTGAGTAGGATATAGCCAGGCAACTATCACAAGCACCTGTTGGCCAGTGTCAGAGCAGGAAGGCAACTTCCACCATTTATATCTGCAACATCCTCTGAAATGTTAAAAAAAAAAAAATTATTTCCTACTTCTTTCAATGTAGAGATCTTGCCTACAATACTGTTTCCAATGCAGGACACCCTGGCAGTCTCTTAAACGGTAAAATGGGAGGAAATGCAAGCAAGTCTGCTTCCGCCGGTGTCCACATCAACATCCCATTTCATGGACAGTTTTGCTTTATTTGTAAAATGTTTGTCAACTGGAGCTTGTGTGCTTAGGTCCTCCCCTTCAGCGCTGCAATGCACAACCTGCCCTCTTTCAGAAAAAGCTGCACAGGGCTGACCCCCCCAGCCCCCCTCATCCTTTCCTTTCGATTCCAAGACCAGCATTTAATGGTAGGAAGGGATAGAGGAATGAAGGCAGAGTACCCTTCCCCTCTTGGAACTTGGTCTGCAGGCTAGCCTTGGAATGCCAGCGCTAGCTGGGGAGCAGGTGCCCCCCCATGCCTCCCACCCGCCCCCAGCCCAGCAGGCCAGCCGCCGACCACTGCCCAGACAGATGCGCACGCGGCCGAGCGGTAGGTTGCTGCAGCTTTTGACGGGAGACGCTGTGGTCGTCATCCCTCCGCTCTGCCCCAGCTTTGGAGAATTCGCTCTGAGGCTGGTAGAGGCTGGCAAGCCCAGCAGAAAAGGCAGCTGGGGACTATTACACAAGTTCTAGTGCTGTTGCTGCTACAGGGTCAGGGGAGTGAGGACGGTACTCCCGGGGCACCTAGCCCAAAGTGCAGCCCCCAGGTCTATGAAGAATACACAAGCAAGCGCGCGTACGTACACACACACACACACACACACACACACACGCCCCTCACTCACCTGATGCGAACTAGTTCTCGTGTCAGCTCAGCCTCTTCTTAAACCCGGGCAGATCTGCTCTGAAATATGCTGCAACACCCTCCCGGCACACGTGAATGCGTCTCCCAGCTCAGGGGTCCTCCTCTTCTTCTTTTCCCTCCCCCAAATGATGGGCTCCAGGGTTTTTTGGGATGGGGAAGCAAGGAGCAAAAAGGCTGCCTTAAGAAGAACTAGGGAAGCCCCCCTGCCCCCCCCGACCCATATAAAAAACTCCACCCCTGGGAGGAGCGAGGCTTAGCCCCACCCGGGACTCTGGCTTCCAGGCGGAGAGGGGATGCTTCTTCCACGTGGGTACCACTCCTCTCCCCCGCCCAGCCGCGCGCTCCAGTCTCTCAATGTGAGAGCACGTGAAGGGCGGGGGGGGGGAGGCTGCTGTTGCTGCTGCATGCGGGGGCGGAGGTGCCCCAGATCCAGCTCTGGCAAAGGTCCAGCTCCCTGGCAGGCTGGCAGGCAGGCGAGCGAGCGGGGGTTTTACTCAGGCGAGCATTGATGGGCGGAAGGTAGGGAGGTCAGGCGCTCCTGGGAGATCTCTGGGCGCTGGGAAGTAGATGGGCGAGGATTCCTGGCTCCCAAAACGGTTTTGCAACTGGCGACAACACCGCTAAAATAAAGAAAGCTAAGGTGGGGTGAGCAAGAGTGGATTTTTGTGCAGAAAGACTGCGAGCTCTGCTCATCTCTGGGATTCCAAACAAACCCCTTCTGCGCCAGGTTTCGGTGGGTGGTTTCTAGTAGGAAGGCAGTGAGTCGATCCTGCAAGCCAGAGGTCTTCCCTCTCCTGACAGCCAGGTAGTGGACAGCCATGCCAACTGGTTAGGAGGAAGGAAGGGGCTTGGCTTTAAATCACCCATCAAGGGATGGCTGGGCAAGGCAAACGAGCAGGCACCTGCACTGTTTATGGTGAAGGACAGTCTTCTCCAACCTGGTGCCCTCCAGATGTTTGGCTACAACTCCCATCAACCCCAGCCAGAATAGCTGTAGGATTCCAGGGCTGATCATACTGGCTGGGGCTCAAGGGATTTGGGATTAAAATCTATTAAATAATAACTCACATGACCACAAAGAAGGCATGAAGGTAAAAGACCCTCCCTGTTCTTTTATCCCAGCACTGCACAGAATATCGGAACAGGTATTAGGGACCTGAGTTCAAATCCTGATGTGGCTCATCTCAAGATGGAGACACAGCATAAGAACATAAGAAGAGCCAGTGGCCCAGTTTCCTTCTCTCATAATGGCCAACCAGATGCCTCTAGGAAGCCTGCAAGCAGGATTTGAGCACAAGAGCACTTTGCCCTCCTGTGGCTTCCAGCAACTGGGATTCAGAAGCATCACTGTGGAGGCAGAGCAGAGCCACTGACAGCCCTGCGTCTTCCATGAATTTGTCCAATCCTAAAGCCATCCAAGCTGATGGGCATTGCTGCCTCCTGGGGGAGCAAGTGCATGAGGAAGTCCTTTCTTTCACTGTCCTGAAGCATTCAGCTTCATTAAATGTCTGCAAGTCGTAGTGTTATGAGAGAGGGAGAAAAACTTTTTTCTATCCACTCTTTCTATGCCATGCACAAACCTCTGGTATGTTCCCTCTTACTCGCCTATTCTCTAAACTAAAGAGTTCTAAATGCTGTAAAAGAATTGAAAGGGAGTTTGAAAGAGGTTTGACTTCCTAGGAGAACCTTCCCAATCCCTGAATGCTGTACATGTGTTGGATTGCAAGTTGTAGCCCAAAATATCTAGAGGACACTAGAATGGGGGAGGCTGAGACAGACAAGAATTTGCTTCAGAGAGCTTTGAAAGAGGGAGTGGAACTATGATGCCTGCGCTCCATCTCACTACTGCCTCTGGTAAACAGGTTTTGCAGGGGTGGGTTGAATGGTTTCAAAAACCTGCAGAACCTCTTGTACCAAACGGCAGCAATAGAAGCAAATCTGCACAGGCTCTCCAGCCCCTTCCTCTCTCTTAGGAGCTGCTTTCTCCTTTCTGTCTAAAGACACTTTGTGGCAGAAACCGGGAACTTTCTGATTCATCACCATTAAGGTTGCTCTTAGTGCAGCTTCAGACATCACAATGCAAAAAACTGTTAGCTTGCCCATTGCTGTTGGCACTTTGACTGTTCCAATCTCTTGGGTGGGTATGCTTGGATGATGATTGCGTTTCCAAGCACCTGTTTGTTGTGTTCACACTTCTACTGCACATTTCAGAAGAATGTACAGTAGTTGAATATGTAAAACCATGGTGTGTGTAGCTGCAGTTCCACAGGAGGCCTCTGGGCAGCCTCACCTTCCACCTTCACTTCCTGATGGCACAACAACAGCCAGTTTCCTGGGAAGCTAATGAGATACTTTGGCGCCAGTGATGCCAATATTGCCGCTGGGATTCATCAGCACAAATGCTGCTGCTTATCTGGAGGGTCAATCTATATTGATATTCACCTCAGCAAAAGACAGGGCCTGGTGTTGATTTAATTTTCTGAAGCAGTAAGTGCTTTTGCTAGGAGAGAGAAAAGCAGCCTTGTGTTCCAGGAACACGTTTTTCAGGGCTTTCTACTCTTATCCATGCACCAACCCATCTTCCTTCTTGCCTGCTTGCAGTAGTCAGTTGAGTGCATGTATGAATCAGCAAAGTTGAGTTAGGAACAATTTACACCTTGCAAACTTGCAAAATTAATTTAAATCAACACTCATCATAGTTTTGAACACCAATCTATGAGACTTCCAGGGGTGCCTGCACTTTCTCAGGATTTAGTTTTCATGGAATAAAGGTTAGTGGAGACTATGGTGTCTTTCAGATCTATGGTTTTATTTCTGCAGGTCTACAACCTGAGCTTCCCATTAGGGTTCCAGGGAAGGCCTCAGTGGCCACAGCCTGGGTTCCTAGGATGATGTGGCCTCCAGCCTGGAAGCTGGAGGCACAGCGGCATGTCTTTTGGGGGGGCGCGGATTTGATATCCTGCTTTATCACTACCCGAAGGAGTCTCAAAGCGGCTAACATTCTCCTTTCCCTTCCTCCCCCACAACAAACACTCTGTGAGGTGAGTGGGGCTGAGAGACTTCAGAGAAGTGTGACTGGCCCAAGGTCACCCAGCAGCTGCAGGTGGAGGAGCGGAGATGCGAACCCGGTTCACCAGATTACAAGACTACCACTCTTAACCACTACACCACACTGGCTCTTGCTCCAGTGTCAGCCAAACTTAAGCACATAACTTACGCATCTGCAGCTTGCCTTGGCCTCATGTTCTCCATCCCAGGATGATGTGGCCTCCAGCCAGGTAATGTAGGAAAAGGCCACTCATTTGTCTCTATGGCAACAAGATGCAGGTGGTGGGTACCTAGTTGAATGGCTAAGGTCATGAACTTGACAGAGAAACTGATCAGACAGGTCTCCTGCTATAGAGTCCACCCTCACAGATACAGGATCCTCCGTTGCAAGGGACCCACAGTATCCTCCGGAACTCCAACGTACCTTAGCCCTGAAACGCAGAGCATAATGATAAAGAGGCAGATGTATCTGGGACTGTGCGAAGTTCTTGTCCCTAGCCATCTGGGATGAGGGGCAGGGGTTTTGGTTCAGGTAGAGGATTGGGACTTCATTGGTCCCTCTTTGTTATGATTTGTTGTTGTTGTTGTTGTTTAAAAAACCAGTTTTCCTATCCCTGGTGCCCTCTAATTGTTTTGACCTACATCTCCCATGCTGGCTGGCCCAAACATCAGAAAGACACTAGGATGGGAAAGGCTCTTTCCAACTTTCACTGCCAGGCTTTGGGTTCTGCTGGTGTCTGTGCTAAACTGCGGAGCCACCTGAAGCCAATCAGGGCTCTGGACAGTGTAGGCCAACATGGCCAGAAAACTCCATGAACCGCTTGCTGGAAAGTCAAAGCCTCAGAAGCATGAGGTTGATATCTCTGCTCAAGAAAGTGGAAGCAAAGGAGTTGCCAGGTCTTGGGGCTTGACCTGGAATGCCAGGGTTATAGCTTCCAGGAGAAGTAAAGTCCAAGAGAAGGGACCCTGCGTCTTGGAGGCGGAAGGCTATTTTCTGCTTGGCTTAAGAGGTTTTGCCATTTTCTCCATCCCTCATCCTTCACCATGAGACACCTGGTCAACCAGGCTCTTCCCTGGCCACCGTGTCCAGGTCTCATCCATGGAGATGAGCTCACCACACTGAAAGCATGGCTCGTGGTTGACATGAGTAAGGCCTCCATCCACAGGGAATCACTAATCGTCACTCCCCACGCCCAGGGTTCCAGTGATCGACTTTGAGTCTAGAGGGTAGGGCAGTCCATAAGGTATTCTGGGCCTAAGTTATTCAGGGTTTTGTACACAAGTGCAAGAACACTGGACTTGGGCCAGCAGCAGGCAGGCAGCCAGTGCAGTTGAAAGACGGCCATGTGAGCCTCAGACTGAGAAAACTGGCTTTGCCTAAGCACTGAAGCTCTCAGGGGCCAGGGAGTGTGTGTGTGTGGGGGGGGGGGGGATAAATGGGGATGGAAGCTCCAGGCACCTGACTGGCAGGGAGCCAGTGATGTCAATGGAACTTCCTGCCATTCTGTGAACTAGGGGAAGCCCGGCAGGTGAAGGATGCAGCTTGTCCAGGAAATGCCTTCCCTGCTATAGACCTCAGGGATTTCTGCAGTGGTGGTGGTGGTGGTGGTGGGGGGGGGTTGGCGGCATTCAAGGGACCCCCTGGAATGTGGGAGAAAGAGCAAGCAGAATGTTGATAGGAAGCGAAAAGAAGTTGTCATTTATTTATTTTGTTAAAAAAGGAGGAAGTTGCCTCTGCTAGTTTGGGAAGGGAAAGCAGAGGGTTGAAGCACAAGCGAGAATTTGATGCTACTCTAAGAAATTCCTCATTAACATCTATAGCATAAAGGCTGCTAGGCTTAATTAATAGATGCAGCAAATAAAGCTTTGGCTTATCAATAAAATGTGACCAACTTTGAGGGAAGGCAAATTTTAATAAACTGGACTGGGAGTGGCAAGAGAGGCCTCTGAGGGGCATGGTGCCTGCTTCTCTCCGGCCTCCTTTTACTCCCCCACCAACCTGGGCACAGTGGGGGCTGGGGGGTATAAAGGAGGCAATGGCAGCAGTGGAGGGGAGGCCGCAGAGGAGGAGGAGGAGGGGGGAGGTGGCTTTTCTGTTTAGCCTCAAGTGGC